TTTTTTTTTTTTTTCATTTTCAGGAAAGTGTCCATAAGAGGTTTCCAGTCTTTAATAAAAGTACTTGTCGAACAAACAGGTCAGTTTTGCCATTTCATAACTTATGTAAGTTTTTCCATTAAAAATAGAAAAAGTTATTGTGGTATTCCTCAGATAAGACCTCCAGTAAATGTTGATCAAAAATCTCTAGGGTTATTAAGGACAGTGTAGTAAACATTCAAAGCAGATGGCTTGTACATAAGCTTAAAAAATGCATTGCCAATTTCTACCAAGTTCTGTCACTACACAATGCCCAAATAAAGCTTCTTCTAAAAGTAGATTCAGAAATGGACTCCAGCCCATTTGCTTTATTCCATAGTGCTAGGATAAAGTTTATTTCAAATGTAAATTTACAGAAAGAACCCAACAAACTTCTATTGCTACACATGGAGCCTGGGTAATGGTTGCCAATTAAAAAATCAAAGATATTTCTAAATATATAATCATTGATGAGTACTTGGTGTGTTGGTTCAGGAGAAAATGGGGCTGTGATATGGGGAAATGAATATTACATTCAGTTTTGCTACTGCTGAATATTTAAAGTTGACAATAAAGTCCTTAGTCTTTAATTGTATTGCTTTAGCTTCACATGATACTTTGGATACAATACTCTATTGTATTTAATAACTGGTTATTAAGAGACAGAACTGATGCATTTATAAGTTATAAATTATACATGTAAATTCAACATGAACTCCTATTTTGGGGGGATCCAGCTTTTACCAATTTTTTTAAAAATCACTTTTTAAAATATTTGAATGAGGTTTTGGATGTAACCTCAAAGTTAAAAGGTTGTGTTCTCCTTCAAAAGTTACAGCTGTGAGAGGAAAATGTTATTAAAGAAGAGCAGGCTTTGTGTGTGTGTATGTGTGTGTGTGTGTATTATATATATCAGACCAGATTTCAGTGTTATTTCATATAAGCAATAAATGTATCTAGAGCTCAAGGTGAAGAGTTTTTTTTTTCTGTGTGGCATTCATTGATTTTACTTCCACTTTTGATTTAGTAAATAGAGATTGGTTATGGCATAAGCTGGCCGCAGCCAGTATTGATAGAAGTTTGTTATAGATGATGTGGAAAGTACATTATAAGTAACAACTGACTTTGTCTAAACACAAGCAGTATGTGTAACAGAACGGGTAAAGCAAAAATGTATTTAAGTTGTATTAAATAAACAATGTTTTGTATATTGGGAGGAAGAAAATAATCTAGATCAGAGATTTTGAAAAGTTATTAAGTAGATTAGGACTCCTGTGTGTGGTGCAGGTCATAATATTAATTAATATTCCTAGGTCTAAAAAATACTGTAAGTAGATTGTTTCATCATGAAGATTTGTCTTAATTTTCAGCACTATTTCAACATCTATGATATACTCTTTATCAGGGATTTCAATTTTGTCTCATTTGAATCAACCATTAAAGTTTTTAATTCCATTAGTTTCCCTTGCCCTTACCCATTTCCATACCTTTCTCCCTTTCTGCTGGAAGGGAGAATGAGAATGTGTGCAAAGGTAGTTGTGTTTTCCTGTGTGAAAGAATAGTTTATGTGGGCATGAGAAAATGATTAGCATATATAGATGGGGGTCAATTTTGTAAATGAAATATCTATTTTACTGGCAATAGATTTTTAATATACAGAGTATATAATTGTTAATATACAGAGTATACACAGGACATGTATACATACTTTAATATACATAGTACACACTACACAAATGTGACATGGCCATATTATTGTGGAAGGGGGAAATCTCCAGGGTTCCTTTCAGCTGGGGCTGGTTACCCTAATTTGACAAAGTGGGGAGACTGGCTTTGTACATTTTTTTATGATTACATTTTTTATTTATATTTATTAAAAATTTTACATGAAGTAAAAGACAAATCTAAAGAAAAAGAAAGAAAAAAGAAAAAAGTGCAAGAAAAGAAAAGAAAAAAGAAAAGAAACTAAAATTATGAAATATAATGACTTCCAACCTTCTCTTCCACAGATAATTACAATGTTATAATCCCTTATAAGGGTTTTTTATAAGGATCCCTTATAATAATGTGTGCTATTTGATCAACAGTCATGATATAAAAGGAAAATGTTTAAATATTTTGCTTTTTTTTTCTGATGAATAATTACTATGGACATTTCATTTATCTGCCATTAATGTCACTAGAACTATATGTCACCATCAGAATGTGAAAGAAAGAAATAGAAAAGCAATTAATAGTTCGATTTTGAAGATATTATTTGGCCAAGGTTTTAGGCCAGTTATTCATTGGGGAGAAATGTATATGAGATCTTAAAGAAAGATTTGCAGGCTTCCTTCAGGCCATCTTTTGCTGTTTCTGGATCTGAAGTAGAGATGTTAAGTATTGCAAGAAAAATAACTTTGTTTTATTGGCGTTACTGATATATAT